GACAGGTTAATCCTTAATAATAGTATTTTGCATGACCTGTGGTACATATGTTCTTATTCTCAAATGTTCTTCGTTATTTTCTGAAGTTTTTCTTTTTCGCTTGTCATATGAGTAAGATAATATGGTATTTCACTCAATTAAAAAGAACGTTAAAATTATGGGGAATGATCCATTTACAAATTAAACTAAGTATGTATGATCGGTCATATATACTCTTGATTAGTGTATGACTGATCATACATAATATAGTTTGTAAATATAACCTTCCCTTAGAATTATAATGCTAAAAAATTATGGGAATTTTTTTTTCTTATTTCACATAAATAAAAAACTTATCTCCTGTTGAAACAAAATGGTGGGACCATTGTTTTTTAAAAAAAGTAAAAAATAAAAATAAATTTGACACACATCTCGATGTATCTGTAGGAAAGGGTCCTTATGACATGTGGATGGAGAAAATCATTGTCCAAAAATTATATGCCTAAACATATCTCAATAAAAAATTAAGAGATAGGGAGCATGCAACACGCTCTTGGTTTTTTTTTGTTTTTTTTTAGGTGTGGTATATTAATTTCAATTCTCAATCCAATCAAGTTTAACAATGCAAAATGACTTTATTTTTTAAGTGCTTTTATTAAGTTGAGATATATCATCCTACAATATTTTTTATGATAGACAACCAAAGTTACTTTACACTTTTCTGGATAATTTAACACTTAAAAATCATTTTACTATAAAGTGTTTAAATAATTTATATAAAGTCACTTCGTCACCTTAAGCTCACGCTGCATCATCAAATCCACACCCTTATCACTGGCGGAGAAATTCAAATCAGATTGAGGTGTACTCTCTCTTTTTTGAAATTAGGTCTTAGACTTTAATAAAAAAAAAAAATAGCTTATATTTACAAACTTTTTTGTTTATAAACTACACTATGTTCTCCCGGGAGAACACTCGTTATACTATGTTCTTCCGAAAAAACATAGTGTAATTTGTAAAAAAAAATTAAAAAAATTTATAAACGGATCCTTTAAAAAAAAATGTTCACAGTACACTTTTTCATTTTAGAAGGGTAGTTGTCGGGGGTAGTTATGCAGTAGGAACAACTCGTTTTCGTGGTCATAGGATAGAACTACTTTCAGTTTCCAAGACTCGTAATTCCTCCCTTCCCTCATCCGAAACAATACTATGATTATGAAGAATACTTATTTTGACTTTTCTTGCGGTTGGTGTTTATTATATTAATTTTTTACGTTCGGAAACTTATCTTTTTCATTTTATTATTTTCAGTAGATTTTGTGAGAAAGACATATAATTTCTAAAAGAAAGATGTTGATGGGTGAAAAACAGAATATAAAACAAGAAATTCGTTTGTAATTTTTTAGAGGAAAAATTTCAAAAATCCCCATATTATTTTATTTTGAATCACTTACATTCCTAGCCCTATGTTATATTTTTAATCACTTATTCTCCTATGATATTTTTTATCCACATACATCTTTAACATTATTAGAAACTAAACTAATATACCTATTTTTCTCTTCTTTAAAGAAAAAAACAGACAAAGGACAAAAAATAAAATAAAATAAAAGAAGAAATAAGATTAAATATGTTATAAACTTACAACACTTATAAAAAAGACAATAAAAAGGTGAAAATAGTTAAAAAAATCGAATATGTTTAAATAAAAAAAGAAAATAAACTTAGAAAAAAAAGGACCAAATTTGTTAAAAACTTATAACAGTAATATAAAAGACGAAAAGCAAAAAAAATAATGAAAATAGTCTAAATAAAAAAAATAGATTGAAGACAAAAAATATAGAATAAAAAAAGACCAAATATATTAAAAATTTACAATACTTAGTCCTTTTTCTATTATTTCTTTTTTGTCTTTTTTTTATTTCTTTTAATAGTGATAGAAAAGACTAAAAGTGAAAAAAAAAACAGAAGAAAAAAAGGACCAAATATATCTAAATAAAAAAGAATGAAATAGACTGAGGACAAAAAGGAAAAAGAATAGAAAAAAGATAAAATCAAATGTGTTGAAAACTTACAATAATATCTTTTCAATTTTCATTCTTCTATTTTTTGTTTTATTTTTTATTATTTTTTCTTTTATTTTTTCCTTCAATTTATTTTCTTCTTTTTGATTTAGACTATTTTCATTTTTTTTTAAATTTTAGTCTTTTTTGTCAATGATGTAAGTTTCAAACATATTTGATCTTATTTTTTCTTCTATTTTTTTATTCATAATTTATTTTCTTCTTTTTTTATTTAAACATATTTGACTTTTTTTTCTTCTATTTTTTATTTTACATTTAGTCTTTTTTATAAGTGTTGTAAGTTTTCAACTTCTTTTTTCTTTTTTAGCATATTCTCTTATTCTGACAAGGGTAAAATTGATATATTAATTAAGTTTTTAGCAGTGTTGAGAATGAGTGTGGATGTAAACAAAAAAAAAGGGGATAAATAATAAATAAAAAAAATAGGGAAGTAAGTGATATAAAGCAAAACGATAGGAATTTTTTTGAACTTTTTCCTTTTTTAAATAAGAAAAATGTCAATATTATAATTGCTAATCTCAAGGGAGATTAAATAATTACCTCAAAATAAACTACGTGATATCACGTAACTAAAGACATGCTTGATTAAAAAATATCATTAAATTAAATGTCTAAATATATTAGAATTTCTTTCCCTCTTCGTGGGATGATATAAAAGTGTAATGCCATTAACTAAACGAATCAACTATAAAATTTTATGTCAGATTCCCGCATGGCGAAACCAAAAAATATAACTTTCTTCGGTTTCTTTGGGAAATTTTCTGAATGCCAAATGGTTTCATCTGCCATTCGCAATAATTCTGCAAAAGCAACGAACTAGTATAAATGTATAATTTTGTTAACCAAATGGCACTTATTAAAGGAAAAATGCATCAGAAGAATGAAAGAGTCAATGATTTTTATTTTTATTTTTCGATAGATAGGAAATAAAAAGAGTCAATGATATGTAAACAAAACTCAATGGTTGCGCATAAGTCAAACAATAATCATTGCTTTCTTTTTCCCTAAATCAGGGGAGACAGCAACTGCTAAAGCATTGAAAAATCATTGGGCATATTATAATGGGGATTATTTATCTTATATAATAAGAGACAACTTCTCTCATGTTGAAAAATAAATAAAATGAAATCCATTAAATTTTATTTTATTTTATTTAAAAAAAAGTCACATTTTTTCGATATGAATGTAACATAATGAGATAACAATCTCATGTAATATGAGAATATAATTTCCTATTATAATTCTCTTTTTTAAGAGTATAAGAGGATAATTCCATGCTAGGGAGCTAACATGCACAATTGTTTTTCACCTCTCTGCTTACACCTCTTTATCGAAATTTTAATAAATTTAATTCTCTACTTTTGAGAGTATAAGAGGATAATTCCATGCTAGGGAGCTAACATGCACAATTGTTTTTCACCTCTCTGCTTACGACTTTACTCAAATTTTAATAATTTTGTTAATAACATATAGAACATGACTGTAACGTTTGTTTCAGAAGAACGATAAAAGAAAGTTAATAGAATTAGAAAAGCTAACAAAAGCAGACGCAAATGCAATTTATACAAATGTAGGTTAAAGTCACTCTTAAACTATTACGTAACTTTTTTAATCCCATAATTATATTATAAATTTTTACATTTTTTTTAAGTCTCCTCAACCGGATCCTTAAAACTAGTCTAGTTCGAGTATTGACAGATCTTATATAAAGAACGACTCTCCTAAGATTATTTTTTTCATTTTCAGGACTCAAACCTAAAATCTCTTGTTAAAAGATTCAAATTCCTTACACATTTTCAAAATTGATTAAGACCTTGTTTGTACTTTAAAAATATATAAAAATAAAAAATGTTTTATTATATTTTTATCATTATTAAACTTTTATAAAATTTATCATAAATAATAAAGATAATACATAATTATAATTTAACAGTTTGATCAATAAAAATTATGCTTTAGATAAAGTTATTAATTTGTGAAAAATATTAAATTTCAGACTGATGTAAATTGTTCTCTTCATGTTATATATATATATATATACACGCGCATCTATGAAGCACCGACACTTTAAAAACCTTGATGTGTCGTGTCCGACACTTTCCGACACTCACCGATACTCAGACACTTCCCGACACTCCAATACTCGTTGCAAAGACTCAAAAAAGATTTAAAAGTTACATTGTGTTACATTTTGAATTTCAACTATTAGATTCGTTAGATTGCGATTACAATTTTATTGAGTTTAATATAAATATTTGAAATATCTTATGTTTCTTTACAAAAATAATAGGTACTATAAATTTAGTTTTATTTTATTGTTAAATTATCGAATACTAAATATAATATTCACTACACAAATTAAAAATATTATATAATATCAAAACGTGTCCTAACATGTCAAAATTTAACAATTTTTAGAATTAACATGTCAAAGTGACGTGCCGTATCTCATGTCGGTGCAAAATAGACGCGCACACACAAACATTAAATAAAATAAAATAAAATTTATTCATGGTGCAATCGGCTTTTCGACATTTGGAGATGAGCAGCAAGAACCCATTGAGACAAATCGAAACTGAATTCCACTTAAGAACTACATGATTTAGGAGAGAACAAAAACAAACTTAAAAATAACACTACACTTGTGGAACATAACATTAAAAAGGGAAAATATTGGATCTCATCTTATACCGCAAGAAGATTTTTGGTTTCCGTGTTGTTTCATTCATTAGTTATACTGTGTGATTTTGACATCTGAAAAAAATTACTGAGGAACAAATGTCCCTTCATGGTCATAGAGGAAAACAAAGGGCTAAAAATTGCTCAGATCCGTTCATTCAACATTGATCTAGGAAACAATACTCAACATGAATTCAATTAAATATCACAGGGAGAAAACCACCTTACACAAAAACCAAAGCAGAAAGAAAGGCAAGCAGCAAGAAATCTGTACATTTTAGAGTTTAACCTACTGAAGTAAATAGAAAGAATTCTTCACTAATAAGGGAAACACAATCGTTAAGCTCATAAGCACCAACCCACCTGGATAATGAAGTACATAGGTAGACCTACAACAATGGCTTTGCTTAAAGCATATGCATTCCACTAGATATTGAATATTTCCCATTTCCATTCTTCTAACACTTATAACTAATATTTGATGAAAGTTTAATATCTCATATAAGATGGCTAAGAGATTGGACTACTTCTATCTTAGCGGCGTGACCTAGATCGGCTGATGCTATCCAATGATGCCCCAAAAGCTCTCCGACTGTATTCATAATTGTTGCCACTGTAGTGAGATCCATACCCACTAGATTGGTCAGTTACACGAGGAGAAACTGGCATTGGATTTACAAAATGAAAAAAAAAAAAAAAAAAAAAAGTTGCTCAGCAAGCAAAGTTCCAATAAGATAAATTTTTTTTCCCAAATAAAATGGAAATTTAGAAGCACAAGAGAAATTGAAGCAGAAGAATAAAAACACATATTACCTTGGGAATAATTTACTGCATAATCTGAAAATCGATCAGGTGTTGATATCCTAGCGGAGTGTTGAAAATTTTCTGAATTAATTATTGGCACTGGGTAAGGCCTTGGTCGTTGAGAAGAATTGGATGTGGGTGTAATTGTTGCAGAACCATTAGGGGTAGTTTTGTCTTTCCCAGATATCTGTTTATTAGCAGATTGTACACATCATTAACAAAGGCCGACACCAGGAAAGAAATCTAAAATTATTATATATATTTAGGAGAAGATATTGTAACAACTAAGTTATGTTACTACCTAATCAATCTTACCGTTAGATCAATTATATTGATCCAACGGTTATATTTATTTCCATATTTGTATGGCTATGATTCTCCATATTTAAAGTGAAAGCATTAAATATGAGAAATCATAACTATACAAAGGTGAAAATAAATATAAAGTATTAAATTTGGGAAATCATGACCATACAAAGATGGAAATAAATATAACCATTGGATCAACATAATCGATCTAACGGTGAGATTAATTAGTAGTAACTTGGTAGTAACACAACTTGATTGTTACAATATCTTTCCCCATATATTTATGGGTTATATAACTCTCATGTTGCATGAAAGTAATATAACTTTCTACAAACCCATTGATTCTCGTGCCTTTCTTTTTTTCTTTTTTAATAAATAGTGGGGCTCACCACATGATTGTATCTACAATATGAGACAACATATCTCCAATTGCATGAGTAATATAACCCTATATTTATAGGGAAAAACATTTCTACAATTAATGTAGAAAAGTTATCTACACTAGGAGTACATAGTGTAACTTTTGAAATGAACTCTATTTTTATTTAGATTTCAAAAGTTACACTATGTACTCCTGAGAGTACATAGTGTAGTGCAGATAACTTTTCTGTATTAACTGCAGAAAAGTTAAACCCGTATTTATATGGTTCTGCATTCAAACCTATGCATCTCTGTTACATGATGTCCCAAGGTATAGTTGGATACTTGAATGCATCCAAAAAGTTGAAAGAGGTCCACCAATACAAACCCAGCTAAAGCAAAAACTACAATGTTGCATAATAGAGCTTGTGATTGTTAGTAAACCCCCAGCTACTAAGGTCTATGTTAGGAAAAAAAGGGGTGAACATAGAAGAGTAGGGCCTGAGTCAGTATCTGTTAGTGACAGCTAATTGGTTAAGAACCCCTAAACGAATTGATTGAAGGAAAAAGCGGGGAAATAACAGAATAAATAGAACAAAAGGGAGTGAGAAAGGAGTCCAGGGGAGGTGGGGATTAAGAAAGTAGGGAGTAGGGCCAGGATTAAATGAGAGAGACTTCTACAGTAATTCTCATTAGAGCTCTATCTCTAGGATTCTGATTCAGATCCTGGGGTAACAGAATAGCAATAAAATTCTAATTCTTCCCCTGTTTCTTAACATGTCGGATCCAGTTCCTATTAGTGAACTTGCGATCAACAAAGCTAAACTTCATCCAACAATTTCAAATAGTGATTGACAGTTATCCAGGTATCAACAGGAGGAAAGAATACATGTCAAGGACGCACCGCAAACTTCAGTGTTCTGTTGTACAGCGTTACAAGGCCTGAGAAAAGCCTGACAGCATAGTCTGCAATCTCCTCGGTTTCATATTCCACAAAGGCATAACCTTTTGGTTTCTCTGATTCCTTATCTTTAGGAATGTGCAAGTCTACCACTCGTCCTGCTTGAATTAAAATATCATACAAGACCCTGTCTGTCACCCTCTCATCCAGATTGCCTGAGTCAAATAGAATTAACCAAATCAGCACCCAAATGTAAATGCTCATATTCATAAATCAACATATACAACATACACTCAATAAGACCCACATATTAAAATCCAATTTATCTCACTTCAGAGTGGAAATATCCCTTCAAAAAGTTGCATTCATGTAATCTATTTGACTATAAAAAAACTGAATATAATAATTTTTTGCAAAAGTAACATTTAAGCTGAAGAAATTGAAGAAAAAATAGTGAGCTTACCTACATAAACAGTGCAATTTGAGTTGCCAGACATAGCTGTATCTAGATCTGACTTAAAGCCCTACCACGAAAGAACCACCGATGTCCTCTAACTTCAGTAAAGGATGACAATCAGCAGCAAAGAAGTATCAGAACTTAAAACTAGGGAATCTAACTTTCCAAAAATAAAAAATAAAAAATTAGGGAATCTCAGTAGAGACTTAGGTGAAAAATTGGCAATATTTAGACTTTCAGTATTTAGAATATATATGGGTTTGCATAAACAAAACAATGACTTTGGTGATTGCAGCAGACTGAAACTCAAGCAAGAATAATGAATATAATGAGATAGAATTTCAACAGTCTGTTTTCACAGAAAAAAGTTTTAAAATGAAGCCACAAATCCAGAGAATGATAAATAACTATTATGAATCTAATTTTGAGAAATAATATCAACAATCATAAAAGCTATCAGAATCCTATATTATTCTGATAACCAATGCAAAACAGAGACAGCATAACAATTACTTCATTGTTTTACTTTTCCTTGGCTACCATATCACAGCAGCTGCTTGATAACTTCAAATCTTCTCAATAAGAACTAAAAATTGACCAAGTGTCAAAGGAATCTAGGAAACCGATTGTCTCAGTATTTCAATTTTTTTTCTTCATATTAATGAGATATTTTTATTCTTAGTCAAATCTGAAGTAAAAAATGTATAGCTTAATTGAGTGATGTACTGAAGTTCTTTGCAAAGCATATTAGTTTAAGCTACTAATATACACATGAATGCCTACAGTGTATTCAATTATACATAACTTCATAAAAAAGTTTTTACAAAACTAAAACCATATCGGATCTCACAAAAATCAACCTAGTGGCAGCAAATTCAAACATCATCGAAAAGATAACACAGCCGAAAATAAGTAAATGCATTAAAAATCAATAAAAAGCGAAAATTAATCAACAACCAAAGACACAAACGAAGTTTTATGAGATGCAACAAAAATTAAAGGGCTTAACAAGCTTCAGAATTTAGGACTGAGATTGTGTACAATGAATAACACTATCTATGAATTGCGAATGCACAATTAGGGTTAGGAATTGGAAGCACGTGACTTACTCGGAAGAAACAGCGACGACGAGAATGTTCTAAAAGCGCTGTAGTGTGGACGGCTTTCTTTTCCTGCGTCGTCGTTTTATTTTACCTATAACAAGGGAACGCGGGAGGCCGAAAATTGGAACAGGGTTTTTATTTTTAATTTTCCCTTTTAAAGGAAAATTATTTCTAGTAATTTCTTTACGGGTTTGATGTTGATCATATTACATAAGATAAAATTATCTCATATACAAATAAAAATATGTGAGGCTCTTGTGAAATCATAAAAAGACTTTTGGTATATCTGGTGTACTTAATTTGGTATATTCATTTATTAAAATAAGTAAAAAAATTTCACTTTAATCCTTGTTTTCTTTTATATTCTTATCTATGTACCTTCAAAATTTTCCCATTTAGTAAATGAATGTACCGAGGTTGGTACAATCATAATATTAAAAATATCTTCGTATAAAAAAGATAATTTTATCTTCTATAATATGAAAAATATTAAACCGTTCTTTACAATGAATTTTACATTAATAAAATTTTCAAATTTATTAACAAGTACTGTGTTTATTTATATACGAGTTATTTTTTATACATAATACATGCACAAAAATTAGGGAGTGTATTGGATTGGAATTTCAAAGGTTTTTAATGGATTATTTTTGGACAAAAAATCCGTTGGTATTCGATTAGGATTTTAATAGATTGAAAAAAAGTCACGTGGTATTCGATTAGAATTTTAAAATATTATTTTAGAATCTGTCCAAATCCGTTGGTATTCAATCAAAATTTTAAACAATGGAATCAATATCTCAAGGTATTCAAAAATTCGACGATTTTAATGAATTTTCTATTGGTTTGGATTTCGTGAAACTTTTTAGTGAAAAATATAAATAGAATGTCTCTCTCACAATCTCACCCCAACCTCTAGAATTTCTTGAGATTTTTTTATTGCAGTATTTTCTTCTTACTTTGGCATGTTGACCCGCTCGAAATCGAGTTCCACCATGAGAGCTTCATTAAAACTCAAAAATAACATATTTTTGAGCGATTTTTATTACAAAACCAAAAAACAACATATCAACGAGATTTTTGAGTCATTTTTTTGAGAAATTTTGAAAGTTTAAAAGGTTATTTTTCAAGCGGTCACAGTTTTTTTTAGCACGAAAAGATGTGATTTTTGTATTAAAAACTGTTGAGATATATAAAATTATTAATGTTGCCTCACCCAACAACTTAAGCTTTTGGGTTGCATTGGTTCTTTACATGGTATCAGAGCCTCGTGTCCCGGGTTCGATCCTCACTGTCCCCCACTTTCTTTCAAGTGAAATTTCCTTGTTCGCACAGGTAGGTGGGCATGTGCATTGTCCACCCTTCAAGCCCAGTGGGCTCTCGTGTGAGGGGGCGTGTTGAGATATATAAAGCCATTAATGTAGCCTCACCCAACAGCTTAAGCTTTTGGGTTGAATTAGTTCTTTACAAAAACAATATAAATAGTGGAAAAATAACAGGGAACTAAAACCCTCAGACCAATTTTCGTTTTACATTAATGAAACAATATCAATTTAAAGAAAGATTGAAACTTTCATAATATGAACCCTATATTTCGTAACAATACATTTATGAACGAAATTTCTTCACTATATGAAAGGATTTCAAATAATTTTTGTATCAATAGATAACTAAAAAATTATTTTTCAAAAGCCCCAAAGCAATTTAAGGTTTCAATGTATCGATTGAAAAAAATTTGAGAAAATTTTAGTGAGTGGTTTTTCTGCAGTAATTCGTGGAGTGAAGGATATTTAGAGCTGTTTTGGAGTTGGATGTCAATTTTGTTTGTCCAACTTCAAACGGCGATATCCGGAGCAAACGATATCGAAATGACTCGTGTGATGACTCATTGGAAAGGTAATTAAGTAAGAAAAAAAGATAGCTAAAGATGAAGATCTGGTCTTGTGCGGTGTGTCCGCAGAAAAATAATAACCGAACCATGTTTGGGAGGGTAGAAAACGTAAAAGTGAGAATTATGCTAAGTGGGTTTATGGTAACCCCTTAGTGACTTGTAATAAGTAAAATAAGTTACAAAGTTAGTTTAATTAAGTATTCTGCAAAGAGTTTACAGTTACGGTCACAACTTTTAATTATTACGCTTTTTATTATTTTAAATGCTCGCCTAATAATGGAAAAAGTTTACTCGCATTTTTTATAAATGAATTGCTGTGATTGTAACTGCGCTTAATATCATAATTAATGTTAACAATACCGGCGTACAACGGGCTGTTACAGTATTCAACCAAACGCTAAGCCATAGTCTAGAGAGGATTTCCAATTGAATTTGAGGATTCCTAATTCGATTGGGGTTAATCACGAATTGATAATTATATCTTTTTATCCAATGACGAAATAAATTAATAAATCTTGATTCCTTATATTGATTGCTTTTTAATTCTGATTTTTTAAACCTCTTTTTCAAATCTGTTTTTATTTAAATTTCAAATCAACAAAATTCCCTTTTCCCTTTATATCTATTTTACAAGAGCGTTTCTGATTTCTAGTAGGTTTTTTAGGAGACGATCCGAGTTGCCCTATCACTACAAACTTAAAGTTCGGTAATTTGCATGAGTTCGACCGTGCACATCAAGGACACGTCAACAAATTTGTCAACAAATTATTTTACTTTGGAATATATATAGATATTAAACAAAAGCATGTTGTGATGAATGATTGAATGCATGCCATTCTGCTGCCGAGCTTTAGAGCAAAACATATATTAATTTCTTTTTTGCAAGAAGACTTATAAATTTGACTTTGACAACTTGTTTTAATCCTATTTTATCTGAAGTCGCAAATGTCTCTGTGAAGGAAGGATCGAATTCAAAGCTGCATTCCAAAGTCAATATGGCTATTCCCATTTCCTATTTTCACAAAAAAACTTTAATGTTGAGATATATTTATTTTTAAATAATAAAAGAAGGAAAAAATATTTGTAATTTTACATGAAAAGAAAAAAATATCCTAGAGATACATAACAATTGACAGGGCCCACATATTTTCTAAAAAAAAAATTATGTGTCTGATCACTTTTTTCTTTTTATGCGAGATTACAGACATTTTATCTATAAAAGAAAAAAAAATGTGTGTCATTTTAAATGATGTAAAATTATGTTAATTTAAGTGAGAGAAAGAAATAAATTATGGAAGAAAAAGAATAGACAAAAAAAATAAAGTTGTGAATTTCACCTTTTCATAAGAGTAAAATCACATAAATTATGTCATTTAGAAGGACAAAATTTTTTTCTTAAAGCAACATGTTAAATCTTAAAAGTTTATAGATTAATTTTTACGTCAGAGATTTCAGAAACCAATATAAACAACAAAATATATTTCATAATTAATTCGATAAATAAAATACATAAGTAAAAGCTTTAGTCAACAGATTAATATAATGATAATAATAATAATAATAATAATAATAATAACAACCCACGATATATATGATGATGCGCTTATAAATTATGGTTAAAAGATCGAAAGGGAGTGGGGCCACGTGGAGGCTTCAGAAGGGGTCGCTGATAACACGCTCTCCTTCCTCCTCGGTCCTCACACCACCACCGGAAGCTCCGTCACAATCACAACAAGAACACTGTCTGTCTCACCTCAAAAACCATTCAACAAAATTCCAATTCCGTTCACTTCCATGGATTGTGATTGCTCGCACCTCGAACACGAAGCTTCATCATCTTCTTCTAATGCGTACAGGCTCCTGCTGCAAGCGCTCTCTCTCATTCCGATCTGGCATTACATGGTTGTTGCCGTCGTTGTTCTGATCGCGTTTCTCTACAATTTCATCGAAATTCATTTCCTCGAAGACCTTCTCTCGGGATTCTCAGGTTACCCTGTCGAATTGACGTACAATTCCTGCTCCAAAATCTATGAAGGCGTTGTTTCCAAGTGCAGGATTCTTCACGGTAGGTATTCGGCGACGCCGTGGCTTTCAAGTCCTCATCTTCAGACCGTTTTCTTGAACTTCTTCGGGAGGCCTCCCGTTTTCAAATACCGAAGGTGAGTGAGGTGATAGATATTCAATCTTTGAATTTTAAGTTGGAAATGCGTGTGATTGGTTTTTTTGTAGAAGAAGGAATAATGTTACGTTCATGTCTGGATATTTGGACTGGTATCTGTTTTTAAGATATGTGGAAAATAGAAATATTTGAGGTTTTGACCTCTTTGGACCCCTCCTTTCTATTTCTCTCCCCTATATATTTTGTTGAACTACAATTATTGTGACAGGGTTATGCTAGAATAAGCTTGACCAGAAGAGTGCCCGAGCTTTCCGTTGGTTAGACCAGAAAGGGTCCCAGTTTAGGAAAGTGATGCATTCTGGAAATATCTTTCAAAGCCTTTGTTAGGGAGATGCTCGAGCTTTCTCTAGCAATTCCCAATTCCATTGTGATACTTGTATTATTAAATAAAGTTGTTAATAACTGACTCAAAGTTGTTTACAAAGTCTAGATTAATCCCATGCAGAAATGAGCCCCCTCTACCAAATAATAATAATAATAAAAAAGGTTATGGGCCACCACCCTAACTGATTAGGATGTATGTGTTCTTCTATTTGATTCCCCCTCCTCTTTTGCATTCGGTGACTTGTACGTCGTGGTAAAGTCTCAACAATTTAATAGTTTCATCTAACAATTGCTCATATATTCTCTTTCAGACAACTATTTAATACTCCTGATGGTGGAACCGTTGCTTTGGACTGGCTAATGAGTTCTGATGGTATATATGAAATATTCAAATTATCAATTTGTGTTTTTAACATGCATACTTAATTGGTTAATGATTATCAAATTAGAAAGCCTCTAGCCTAAGAACAGATACAATTCCAAGGTTGATTTTTAAGATTTTTGTGTCTGATCATTTTACAGTTTCTGGTGGTGCTCTTCATATGGATGATGTTGTTTCTAAAGATGAATCTACTCCCATTGTCATAGTAATTCCCGGTCTTACAAGTGACTCTTCATCTGCTGTAAGTTATATTATGTTTCAGTTTTTGTGCCCCTAAATGTTAGTGTTATCTCACAGTTTTTTTTTTTTTTTTTTTTCAACTTAACGGGAATTGGGAAAAACCACACACTTATCCCCAGCCTGTTGGCAGCTACTTGACTGCTAGGTCAGGGCTTGTGATCTTTGGTTGTCTTATCCTTGTCTTCATAATTATATTGCATCAGTTGAAACTGCCTAGCCTAGCAGCTAGTTACATAACTCTTATGCCAAAGGCTTGTGTTGTGTTACTGTCATCACTGTCTCAACAATTTAATATGAAACTGCTGTACAAGTTTTTGATGTTGCTTTATATGATTTAATTGTAATTTCATCTAACCACAAACCCATGTTTAAGCATCAATTTGGGTTTTAGTTTTAATTCCTTCAATTTTCTTAAATTCAGAATATATATTTCATCTTTATGATGCTTTTGTAATACTTTATTGAGAAAACACACATCAACTATTACATGTCACACATTAGAGTCCTCCTCAAAGCCTTGGTTGGCATTAGGTTTTTACCACATGCAAGCATGGGCGGACCCAAGGGAGGGGTGTGAGTTGACGGTCATCCCTCTTTAAACTTTGATTTTTTAGTATTATATATATATAATGGTATTTTTGTAATAATAATAGATTATTAATCCTAATAATTAACCCCTCCCTCAAAAACACTTGTAATAATTAACTCGTTTTATTAGTCTTAATAATATTTATAATTTTGATATTTATTTTTCGTCCCCACTCATAAAAAATTCTGGATCCACCAAAGGCTAGGGATTATAAATCTCAAACCGATGACTTTAGAGGTAAAATGATTTCTCGAGAGCTTATGCTAAGAGTGAATCAAGTGCAATATCAGGGAGACATTCGATGCATGCTAAGATATTACTGCTAAAAGGAAACATTGTTTCCGTTAACACTACTAGCTTCCAAAATGGAGAGTATATTGGACACCACTGTTTTTTTATTTTTTATTCTTTTGTTAGGCATCAATTATGCTTGATGTTACCTTGTGTATGAAATGTTTACTAATTTCTAATTTTAATATTTCACTTCTTTTTGTTGATTAGGAGATATATTTATATTATAGTGGCATCTTACAGTTTATTTTTCTTTCTTTCCCCCTGTTCTTGGTAGTATCTCAAACATCTTGCATATCATACAGCAAAGCATGGATGGAAAGTTGTTATCTGTAATCACCGAGGACTTGGAGGTGTTTCAATCACGGTTAGTTTTTCTGCAAGCTGGAAATATATAGGTTAACAATGTTGATACAATTGAAGACATAACGTGAACATTGTTGATTATATGAAGACTTACCAATTAACAATGTTAATATAAGAATGATGTACATTTTACTCAGCTCTAATGGGTTTTTAACTCGGCATCCTACCAATCAATTAACAATATAAGAATTTAAGGTTAGTTAATGAATTGGCTAAGTATGCTCATCGGGTGGATAGATGAAGCTTGCCAATCTATTTGCATGTCAAGAAAAAATTTCTTGAAGTAGACGTTGTGTGAGAACCATGAAGAGACTAAAGGAACCAATTTTAGATCATGGGAAAGGCAGCAGCTGAAAAATGTCCTTGAAATTTTTTTGCATTCATTTTTGTTAGAATAATAGGATTATTGTGCATCTCAGTACTGTGATTATGTTGTGGTGTAACAGTTTTCTTGTAATGCAATTTCTTATTAAAATCATTTCAGTCTGATTGTTTCTACAATGCTGGATGGACCGAGGATGCTCGCACAGTAATTAATTATCTCCACAAAGAGAACCCCAGGGTGCCTTTGTTTGTTGTCGGAACTAGTATTGGAGCTAATATTCTGGTAAATTCATAGCTTGAGTCTTAATTAATTAATTAATTTAATTGCTTACTTCAAATGGTCTATACCTAAATTTCCATTTAATCACATACATCTTCAAGTGTCACTTATAGCAATGACCAAGAAGCAACTGACTTCATTCAAGTGTTTGGCATTTCTTGCTTCCCCACATTGACATCTATTTCTTCTGAAAAGTGCTCTCTCCTGGTTGGAACTTGATTAAAAATTTCCCACTTCCTCGTACTGGATTACGATTATCTTTGATCAAAACCACTTCTGCTCATGGATATTAATGTTTCCTACTTGTTCATATATATGCATATTACTATATTGCTTTTAGATAAGTGTATGACATTTCTTGCTTCACCGCATTGACCTCTATTTCTTCTTAAATATGTTCTCTCCTGGTTGGAGCTTGATCAATTTTTTCCAATCCCTTGTACTGGTTTAGCATAATTTTTGATCAAAAACTGTTTTCAATTGTGGATATAAATGTTTCCTACCTGTTATACGCTTATATTAATTTTAGTTCGGGACCAGATATTCAAACTTTCTCAGCATGATCAAAAGCATCATGCTGGTTCCCTAACTTTTTTTTTTTTCTTTTTTAAATAAATTCTAACTCCTCTATGTTAATGCTTAATTTCTTTTATCATACTTATGTTATGACCATTGGTACATACTCTATCTGTTTTTCAAACTACAGCAAAACTCAGGAATAATTGTTAACTTATTCTCACATATGTAAAAATCTCGGTTTCGGCACTACACTGTTTGATTTGAAAGATTGTTTGCAGATAAAATATCTTGGTGAGGATGGTGAGAATATTCCTGTAGCTGGAGCTGTAGCTATTTGCGGTCCTTGGGACCTTTTGGTTAGTATTTTGACTTTAAAGTGACTGTCTTCAACTTTTGCATTTCAAATGGCATTGATTAACGTGCACAATATGTTATGAAAAAATACCAGAGTCTATCTTTCAAATGGATTTGGACCCAATTTAATTCTGTGGATCCAATTAAAAAAAGAAATAAATGCAATGTTTAAGGAACACTACATGTAAATTAACATGGGATAAAATGTTCAAGTAATATAGTCCTCAATCTAACATTTATTGTATGAGTTGATGCTGCAAATTCTTTGTTTGTTTGGTAATTCTAAGTGTTGAAAGTTATACTTGATGTACAAGTCATGCATTTCTCTATTTGTCTAAAATATTCAACTTTAGGAATGGAATGTGTAAATTGCAGGGTTATGTTTTTCTTTTCTTTTCTTCTTGGGTGTGTGGAGGAAAGGTAGACATTTCTGAAAAAGTTGGAGACAATTTGGTTTGGAATCAAATGAGCATAATGACAACTATCTTGAAAGTTCGAGTTTGGGACGTACTTTTAGGCTTTTAGCGTATAAGATTTATGTGCTTATACTTCAAAATTGTTTTATACAATCTATTTGATATGACTGATGGAGTTTTCTTGAATTTCACTCGCAGTTGAACATTACTGAAATTTGGAATTGTTCTTCATTTTGCCCATTATTATACCTAATCTGGAAGTTATGTTACTTGTGTATCGATTGCAGATAGGGGATAGATTTATAACCCGTAGGCGTGTGCAGAGGTTTTATGATAAAGCACTTGCAATTGGACTTCAAGGTTATGCAAAATTGTATGTTTGAATCTTTGCAGTTGAGTTTAAATATCTTGTTAATAAGCTCTTGGTTTTTCATTTATTAAAGTTTTCATTTGCAGACAAAGATGCAAAACTAAGAAGTTTCTCTAGTTCATAATTGACTTGATTTAACATTTTTACCAATATTCATTGCAGACACCAACCTCACTTTTCTCGTCTTGCTAATTGGGAAGGGATAGAAAAGGTGGTCTTACTCTCTATATTTTCATTTTTACTACTACTATCAGTGTAATAAAAAAATCAATTATTTATTGTACATTTTTATGGTGTTGGCCTGTTTAGTCCATGTTCAATCTGTTAGCTGGTACCCAATTTTATTGATTTATTTTCTAACTGAAAAATAGAGCTAAGTTTTTAATGTGGTATCCAGGCAAGTTACTTGTCTGTACTAGTAAATGAGGAGGATGAATGAAGGGTGTAAAGCAAATGTCATTCATTTTTTTTCCTTACTCCTCTTAATTGTGGTATTTTATGCTGGTCTTGTTCAAATGTTACAAGCCAACGTAATTATTCAAGTGTTAGAATGATGCTTGTTGATTTTAAATGCCATATAGTTGCTACTCAATTATCCGTTTGGATCTAGCTTTTTCTTTAACAGATAGGGTTTCATTATTCTAATATGTATCACATTCTTAAACTTTGTGTGCCCCATGTTATTGTTTTACGGTAATTTTTAAAATTTTAACCAATACTGAGTGCATATACATTCTTGTGGTTTGCAGTCACTTTCTATTCGAGATTTTGATGACCATGCCACCCGTATTGTTGGGAAGTATGAGGTACTTAGGTAGCACCTAAGATTTGTAATCAATTTTCATGTCTTATCTCTTGCTCTACATCCTTATATCGGTTACCTAAAAGTATCTTGTTTCCTTAGACGGTTGATACGTATTATAGACGCTGCAGCAGTTCTATTTATGTGCAATCTGTGTCGATTCCGCTTCTCTGTATTAGTGCTCTGGATGATCCAGTCTGTACCAGGGAAGCCATTCCCTGGGATGAATGCAGGTGCTTGCTTTACTGTTTTCCTTGGTTCTAATTAATTTGCTTTCTCTTGCATTACTGCAATATCAATTTTAATGTACTACTCTTTTGATAGGGCAAATAAAAATATTGTGTTGGCTACTGTAAAGCATGGAGGACATCTGGCCTTCTTTGAAGGGATAACTGCATCTGGCCTATGGTACTTGAGTCATTTTGTACATCTGACTCTTCAGCATTATGTCACATCCAACAATCCTATGCATTTTCCTTCAAATTATTGCAACATCCTTTTTTTGTTCGGGGGAAGAGAAGAGGGGAGGAGAAAGAGGATTGCAACATTGTTTATCATTGATATCATTTCTTGGTTGCTGCAATAGAATATCCATGATATCACCTAAATTGTAATCCAACTAAGTAGCCACTAATGTAAAGAAAATGAAGACCAATTTTCTTCCCTTTTGCAGGTGGGTAAGAGCTGCGAATGAATTCCTTGGTGTCCTACACTCTAGCCACTATATGCATGTACAGAAGAAGGTAAAAGATATGCTACTGTATTCACTTATTTGCTTATTGATTCTGTTTTTTTCCATCCTCTGGTTATGTGCTATTTGTAATTACCATATACGTTTTGGTATCACAATTCGGGATTGTGGTAGAGTAAGTTATCTCGGAGCACTAAACACAGCATTGCTGCTGGCTGAAACTGCTGTTTTCTCTGTTATCGGCAATGCAGATCTCTAAACCAAACACACCATTGAACTCGTCAATTGATCAGGGGCCTTATGTTAATGTTACTGAAGATGGAATGGTGGCTGCATTGAACAATGAGCCAACAACAGACAATGTGGAAGAAATAAAAGTAATTCAGGATACGCATCATGACAGTCATGATAGGATTCCAGAAGAGAAAGCTAAAAAACAAGATGAAGAGCTTGTGACTAATGCAAAGAGTGGTGATTCCTCTGGCATTGCACAAACGACTAGTGCCGATGATGCCGTACGTCTTGATGTATTAACATCTTTCAAAAGATACGTAGGCCAGTTATCTCGACAAAATCGATGGTCCATTTGGTTGCTGGTTTATATTGCTATTACTACAAGTTGGCCACTGGTCGGTTCAGCCCTATACATTGTGTTTGGGAAAAAGCTACGGGATATCTTACCAGGTGGTTTGGTCAGAAGATAATCTCATGATCGCAAATATTTTGTTGTATTTGTCTGTGTAGATGTATAATAATGTGAAGAAACTGTATTAGATTTATTTTCCCCTTACAATATATATATATATATATATATATATATATATATATATATATATATATAAAATAAGTGAGAATAAGCAAACTAATTAATTACATGAATTTACTCAAATTGACCAAAAAAAAGAGAGATCCTAATTGATCCCTAGGAATAAGGTACATGATATGTTTCCTAAAACACAATGGTTTCTAAATATTTTCCATAAATAATGTGCTTGTCCTACTATGCCTTTGCCTTGCTAACGGTGGAAATTTCCATTTCTAAGCTTATGGTTAATTAACACTTTCATGGGTTTGTTGTTTTCGTTAAACCACTTGTTTCTGGTCAGTTCTCATCCTGCCCTGTAACAAATGGAAAACACCTATATATAATTTGATTACTTCATTAAGGTTTCTTTGTATTATATGATGCGTCAAATGTGGTGTATAGTTTACATGAAGAAGATGTAAAGATGGCAACTCACCATTTGTCGAATGTAGCATTACAAGAGTTAACAACCAAATTTTAAGATAACTAATATAAATGCTTACCTCTAAGTCTTGAAAGACCAATGGTGGTTTATATATATATTAGCATATAGTTACTGTTTTCTCAAAAGAGCTCCCCTACGATAAACGCGCACTAGATAGATTTTAACATCTTCAACAACTACTGAGATTTATTGAATTATATTTTAGAGTTATTGATACAGATTCAAATCCGAAACCGGATAAAAAAAGAAAGAAAAAAAGCAGCTTCTACTAGCGTGAAAATTAACTTCATCTCACTTATAAGGGAAGTTAAAAGGTGGAAATTGGACTTTTACTAGCCATGATCCAACCTTTTAATATTTAAGATTGGTTGATAATGTATTCACTTGATTTCTTCCTAACTCCAAAGCATGGCCTTCAGCCCTTCATACTTATCTAAAATTTCTTCCTTAGACAAGTTAATTTTTGTTAATCATGAAACGGAGAGAAACATCTATCTAATACGAAGGGAAGAACAACCACAGCTGACCACAAACATGTTCAACTTCAATTATAACCACAAACTCAAGAGAGCAAGAAAAAAGAAAGTTGAGCAATGGCGGTTCGAACTCAAAGTCTCCATATACTATTGCCATTGCCTTGAAACTTTAAGCACAGCTTGAAGATGAATTTAAAATTCATGCAACAAATTTTTCTTTAAAATTTTTGGGTGTTTAAAAAGCTTGTATTTCCCTTTAATATGTGGCTCCTGTGATTTTAAGAGTTATTTTATTTCCCTTGATTGTGAAGACTACGTTGAGTGCATATCTTCTCTTACACTGTTTGTCAACTGTGAATGGCTTGATAAATTGAAGCCAAATGGCCAACCACACTGATTTCTAGTCTTTTAATTAATGGAGGTTTATACGTCTTAACAACATGATCAAACTTCTAGAAATTAATGATACACGATTTGAAATGAAGATATGCTAGAATTGTACTAAATTTGATGAGCGCAAATGAACTAGATAAACTTCAAAACAAGAATGCGAAACTGGAATTAAATGCTATAAAACACATAAACATGTCCAATAAAGTTAAAATAAAAAAATCACGATCATAATTTTCACATATGTTGAACAATGATGTGAAAGGGTAGCTTACTGATTTGTTTGGGACAAATCCCTCAATGTTAGCTTGAAATAGATGATTTGTTTGGTACATGTCCTTTTTTCAATACCAAATAATAGATGATTCATTAATGGAATAAAATATCATATATATAGTCATCAAAGTAACTAGTGGGTAGTCATGAAAAAAAAAGAAACAAACTAATGAGAAAACCCGAATCCTACCAAAATCATGTGTCCTAAACAAGGAAGTCCCTTATAACAAAGGACATTAGAAAACTAAATATGTCTAAACTGTATAACATAAAGTATATATCTTGTGGATTTAAAATTAAATAACTAAACTAGTTATTCAAGATCAAATCAACTCCTTAAATTTATTAGATAGTCAACCGAGCATCATTTGATGCCAATTGCCAACTAATAAGATAATCATATGATTGGAACCTTGAGATAATGACTTTTTGATGCCAATTTCCAACTAATAAGATAATCAAATGATTGGAACCTTGAGATAATGACTTATATATATATATATATATAGGTAGAATCCTTTGACACCAGTGTCAAATTTGAAATTTGACACCTCATGTGAGAGTCGTTAGATCAAAAAAGATCAACGGTGTCACATGCTTACAAATCAGAGTCGTTGATCTTTTTTGATATAATGACTCTCAGATGAGGTGTCAAATTTCAAATTTGACACTAGTGTCAAAAGGATCCTACCTCATATATATATATATATATATATATATATATAGACACACTATTAAGTCATTGGTTTGAACTTGAACTTCTAATTGTAAGTAAAAGAAAGAAAAATTGACCTTATAATTTTATAATTGCTATTGCTTAGAGAAGCATGACATAATTAGTATCTGATATGGCTTTGAGCTTTCACTGTGGACATAAGTTTTGGTGAGAGAAATGACATATTTGTTATAAGGAATATCAAAGCAGAGGAAGACAAACCTGACGTCCCAAGTAATAATAAAATCTTATAAAGGAATAGAAGTTTCTTAACAATCTGAAGAGGACCAAGAATATTCAACAAATTAACTATATAAGAAAAACAAATCTTAAGCTAGATTAGTGTCACATTGTTTTCTCAGCCTCTGTCCCTTGTCGAAGGTTTATTCATACATTGTGCTTGCATATAATATTGCAATGGATCTAACTTTGTTAATCCTTCTTAATATTTGACTGCTGATGTAAAGTTCCTTTTTTGGCGGAAGATACCTTTGCTTATAATCTAGGACAAGTTTAGCCGAAAGGCATATTTCAAATGCACATCAATTTGAATAGCACGTTTCTAATGATGACTATGTAATCTTGTAATTAATATACTTAATTACTATTCAATCATTTCTATAGCTTTCATTTATTATTCAATGCATCTCCAATATTGTTTTTATTTTATTATTTTCATACATGAGAATAGTTTATTGTTTTAAATTTTTTAAAGTATTGATTTGGACCTATTCCACGGGGATACAAGACCCAATCCATAAAAGACCCAAAATGATCCAATTACTAAAATTTCAATGTTAAGGAAACGCGGTTATCCCACATATTTACCTGTTATCTCGTAAGTACATTGGCACACAATATCAGTCTATTACGACTACATGACATCAGCAACTCAAGACTCTACAATCATCCTAATAGCCAATGGCTAAGGCATAGACACCCGATTCCAGGTGTGCCTATGAAGCATAGCCCACAAATAGACATCTCCCGCACACGAGATAGCCTGCAAGAGTCACCTTTGTGCACCAATGAAATTAAGTGCCGCCATACTAAAGTGACATAAGTAGGGCACTCAACTACGAGACAACGACCAAAGTACCACACTTTTCACAAAAAATTACTTGAATGCCACGCTCTGCAATTTTTTTTTGAAATGCCATGTCACCTAACTCGTTACAACACCTGACGAGTTAGGTGTGGACATGTGATAGAAGGTGTATGGCTATGTAAGTGCAGTGAGATTACGTTGGCTACGTAAGTGTAGCGAGATTACGTTGACTATGTAAGTGCAACGAGATTACGTGGGGTCAAACGTGCTATGCAGCATAGCGTGTTTAGTCAGCTTTTTTGACGCGTGGCAAACGTGCTATGCAGCATAGCATGTTTAGTCAGCTTTTCTAATGCGTGTCAAACTTTTTTTAACACATTGCAAACGTGCTATGCAGATCATGTTATGTGTGCGTCATAAAATAATTTAAATTAATATAGACTGAATTAAACTAAAATAATTAACAAACATAAATTACATTTAATTCATTAACACTCATAAATTAAATTACATTACTTAATGGTTCAATTTTTTTTTGACATAACTTAAACTAAATTAAATGAAATTAATTAACGCTCCTAAAAATAATTAATTAATAGTTGTAAAATAATTTAAATTAACACAACCATGTGTTTTAGTAGGGGTGTCAATATAGGTTATGGCACACGGGTCGACCTGCGACACGACACGAAAATTCGTGTTCGGGTTGAACCGCAAAAAAAATCGTGTCAGAAAAAATAACACGTAAAAAATTAAATTTGTGTCGTGTTCGTGTTGACCCATATTTTTGTAATTATTTTTTATAATTTTGACCTATTTTTTTTAAAAAATTTGTCAATTATCGTTTTGACCCCTATTTTGCGTGTTATTCGTGTCGTGTCAACCCGCAAAAATTCGTGTCGTGTTAGTGTTGAAGATTTTGACACGAATAAAAATTTGTGTCGTGTTCATGTTGATGTATTCATGTCGTGTCAAATATGTGTCGCGTCAACCTATTTTGACACCCCTATGTTTTAGTACCATCATTGGATCAAGCTCAGACGTGTATGGTCCAACCCAACTGTTATTTGATTGATCAGTATATCATTAATCAGTATAGTACTAAATATTCAATATAAATATAATTTAAAATTAAAATTAACACCAAAAACGTAGCCAGATTGGTTTCCAACTTTCCAATATAGAAAACTTGAATACTATAAGGCAATTCGTTTCAAGATGTAGATAGAATCGAGAACCTTTTCATAAGAAATGGAAAACAGATTGGCAAAACTTCAAAGTTTAAACTTGACAATTATAAATTGAAAGCCCAATAGAATAGAATAAAACAAAGTTTTATTAAAGTAATATCAAAAGTGCATGTTGTTTAACAAAGTGTTCTAAATGTTTAAATGTTTTAACGATCTCCAATAGATAACGAGAGTAACTCACCCTCCTCTTACTCTTACAGCCATATATAGCATCTCCCTCCCGAATCATGATAATACATACAAAGTCATCATTGATACTTAGAGATTGTCAAAGATGCCAAGAGTTAGAGTGCAAGAATCGTAATATCAGGAAGCCACCCTTAACTTGTTACAGTACTGTTCATTATTAAACCCACGATCCTCAATCAAAGTATTAACA